ATTTAATGGAAGTTTGCAGTGTTAGGGTGTAAGTGATTAAATTTGTTAATTGTGTAATATTGCTGGACATAATGATGCATTTAACCATTAACGGTTTTCCACTGCATTGCCTTTTAAATTCTCATTGTAGTGTATTATACATTCTTGTTGCCTTTTCAGCAAGTGTTAATAATCGTGGAAAATAAAGGTTAGAGTCTGGAAAGGAAAGTATCCCAACTGTGATAACAGGAAGAAAAATGATGTGTGTCACTGGAGACCCCAGTTGCTAAGGCAGTGTCTGAACAGTATATGTTGTGGGAAGTACTGGGAGCAGTGAGCATGTTCATATTCACCACATGATCCGTCCTTTGCTTTTTCGTTTTCACTCTGCAAAATAGCAAAAATAACAGAGGAGTTTGCAAAGAAGTGGTGTGAGGGACAACACAGGCTGTAGTTCCTACTTTCATCTGTCTGAACAGCGCTTGGTGTCCATCAGCCCTGGAGATTAATATGGGGTTTGTCACATTTCCTTCCTGTGACAATAACAAGAGGAGAACCTGCATGAGGCCTGGACTCTGCCATACTCCACAGCATGTACCTTAATTTGCCTGGAGACAAAAGGTTTGGCCTCCCTAATGAATAGTGTGTGATGCAGAGAGTGGGTTCTGTGGCCTGTGCCATCAGCTGGTGCTTGTAGAGGGATGACCAGGGCGGCTCCAGGTGCCTTGGCCACTGCTGCTGCATGGGAACACGGCTGTCTTCTCAGCTTCTCTGGAGCAAACGGCAGCAACTGCACCACAAGGGCTGAATAAGTGCCAAAATCAGAGAATCACAGAATGGGAAGGGACCTTTAAGATCATCTTGTTCTAGTCCTTCCACTAGACCAAGCCCCATCCAACCCAGCCTTGAACACTGCCAGGGATGGGGCAGTCACAGCTTCTCTGGGCAACCTGTGCCAGGGCCTCACCACCCTCTAAAGAATCTTTTCCTCATATCTAGCCTAAACATGCTCTCTTTCAATTTGAAGCCATTCCCCCTTGTCCTGTCACTACTTTCCCCTGTAAACAGTTCTCCCTCTTTCTAGTAGGTCTCCTCAGGCCCTGGAAGGCTGCAATTAGGTCACCCCAGAGCCTTCTCTTCTCCAAGCTGAACGATGCCAATTGTCTCAGTGTTTGCTCCCAGGGGAAGTGCTCCATCCCTCTGATCATCTTGGTGGCCTCCTCTGGACTCGCTCCAGCAGGTCCGTGTCCTTCCTGTGCTGGGACCCCAGAGCTGGCTGCAGCACTGCAGGTGGGGTCCATCCCAGGGGAGCAGCCGTGGCTGGGCCCAGCCCACTTCTTTGCAAGCAGAGATGCTGCATGTGGGCAGGGAAGTGTGAGGAGTGGGCAGCAGAGCTGGAGATAAATGCTGGGTTCATGTCCCATGACAGCCCATTATTAGACTGTGCTTTCAATGTTCCCCTTCCCTGCAGCCTGCACCTGCAAGAAGCTGACTGGCCTCTGTGTTTTGGGTACAAGGTGAGGGTTTCCAGAAGGGTTATCTGTGCTGATATTGAAGAAAATCACCTTTCATAGATCAAGCAGATCAGGCAACATATATCACCATTAGACCAAAGTTGAAACAATCCCTTGAAAAGCCAGGAAAGCTTCAGAAACTGACTTAAACATTATCTTTGAAAGCAAAGTCATTTTGCTTCAAGATTATCATCGCAATTTAGATGCTGTACATTGTACTCGGATAAAGAGGGAATTTGGCAGATGAGCTCTTGCCTCTGGAGCCCCCAGATGACTGGAACAAGCTTCCCTTTCAGCTTAAATCAGCAAACAGCATAATCTCCTTTAAGCCTGGGGTTTAAATGGCTATTTGAAGGAGGATTGTGCAAAATCTATTTCCAGTAATATGGTTACTGGAGCTAAAGAGTATGTGTTGTTTTCGTGAGATTTTTGGATGGCCCTGTGGTGTGCATTAAATTATTGCAAGAATCCTGCAGTAGATGATTTTCCCTTAATCTTCAGATATATGTGCTGGTGGCTCTTCGATAAAACTGAAAGCAGCTCTTGGTTCTTGGACATTTTTGGAACTGCAGTGACCAGAGTAGCTGTCAACACCCTGAATAGCCCCCTATGCTGTAGGAAAGGTGCTTGTGTTTGTTGTGTCCATCAAGGGTCGCAGTGAAAGGTCCCTCTTCTGACGTGTAATACCAGTGGGAGAGTCACTGATCGAAGTCAAGGGGAGTGACCTTTCCTGCCCCTGCATTTGTACCTCAGATGGAATAGCTGTGTCCTTACTGGCATTCCTGTTTGGGGTATATATTCCTGGGGACAATTGCCTGTCCATTCTGGCTGCTGCAGTTTGAAGTCCTGACTGTGGTGAAACCAAGGCCAGAGTATGCTGCGCTTCCCAGCTCCATGGAGGCTGAGGCCTCTGGCTCTTGAGCCTTCTCCAGTTTTTTGGGCATAATGTTCTTGAAAATAAAAGTGCCCATTTGTGGGCTTCAGTGACAGAGTTATCTTGTTGGGAGATTAACTATGTGTGAATATTTATTAGGAGTACGAGCAAAGAACTTTCCTGCGAAGCTGCAGGCAACACTCAAATATCTGAACTAAATCACAGGTTTCTGAAATAAAGCATGACATGTTCTCTGCCTCTGCTGGAGCAACTGACAGTGGTTCTGCCGGGAAATAAATACCAAAAAGCTTATTTCTTTCTAGATTTCCCCATCTTTATTGCTTTTGTTTTCAAAGGGAATGATTTCTTGTATAAGGTTCTTCCTTCTTTTCCACCTTCCCTTACATCAAGGTTGAAGACAAAACCTGGAACTACTTTTTATAGTTCTCTAAGTCAAGGTGTAGCGATTAATGTTACAATAATGTGATAATTAAAAACGGGGGAAGATCAAATGTTTCTTCCCTCCCACTCTCATAAGCACCAAAATGAATGAGTCCAAGCAGGCAGGCCCAGCATCCAGGCACCAAGGCATGTTTCCTGCGTGGCCTGGCCAGGATTTCTGGAGACAAAGACAACAAGCCATGCTGGCTCTCTAGCCCTTGTTATTTATCCTGTAACCTTCCAAACTTGTTGAAGTATGTGCTGGTTTTGAATGTGCCTGGTTTGTACTCTTCAGGAGCTCACAGTAGTTGTGATCCTGTTGTCTGTTGTGTCCCACTTCTCTCCATGGTTAGGATTTACTTTTTTTTATCTAGGTGTTGACTTGGCTCTTCCCCTACTCTGTCTTCCCACCACAATCTCCTCATGGGTTTACTCTCTCTTTCAGTATCCTTTATTTTTCTTATCTGGGAGTTGCTGGATCGTGACCTGCTGTCAGCACCTGCCATCCTTCTACTCCTCCTCCCACTGTTCCTCCTGGTGCTCCCACACCCGTGGCCTCCGTTTGCTCCCCATTCCTTCTGCTCTCAGCATTGTCATTAAATATTTCTACTCAGGGAGTTCATTGTGTTCATTCCCCTGCTTTCCCCTGCAGTCTGCTGAGAGTATGGCAAGTTGCGTGAGCACTTTATTTATTTATCATTCCATATTTCAAATATTTAAGTGAATTGCTGGCGCTGCACAGATAATATCTGTAGATCTTAACGACTGATCATGTATGGTTATGGTAATCTGGAGAAAATGCAAATGAACTATGAGAACTGCTTCATCTATAAATAAAAGCATTTAGCTTCAAAGCAGTATTGCCATGGAAATTCTTCACTGATAAAGTATGGGAGTGGGGCTTTTCTCATTTAGATTTCCTGAGCCTTTCCATTTTATGCTGACAAGATGCCAGAGGGAAAAGAGCTATAAACTCAGTATTGCATATTTAAAAGATGGTATTTTATTTCATCTTCTTAATTCCAAATCTTTCCATTTACAGTATACAGCCATGAATTGAAATTTATACCAAATGAGGAAAAAGGGATAGGAAATATTATTGTTGCCAAGCTAAATCCAGTGCTCACTGAAAACTTGTGGCTTTGTTTTGAGCTGGCTTTGGCCCTGTATTTGTAAATACTCTTCTAATCAATATTTCTCAAATATATTCAGGAAACTTCCTCTGAACCACACACAAGATGCAGAGCCCCTAAGGGAGGATGTCTGAGAGAAAATACATTTACCTGATCTATGAGAGTGGTGCACATTAAATCCAGTCTCGGTGAATGCAAGGTTCAGTGTGTGCCAGGCTTGCCAGGACTGACTGTCAGTTGGAGCTCTGGGCAGGACCGAGCTCTGTGTGTCATCGGCCTCAGTGGGGTTGCACTGAGGAGGTGGAGGGAGCTGGTTAGCAGCTACCATGGATAAGGAGCTGGTTAGCAGCTACCGTGGATAAGGAGCTGGTTAGCAGCTACCGTGGATAAGGAGCTGGTTAGCAGCTACCGTGGATAAGGAGCTGGTTAGCAGCTACCGTGGATAAGGAGCTGGTTAGCAGCTACCGTGGATAAGGAGCTGGTTAGCAGCTACCGTGGATAAGGAGCTGGTTAGCAGCTACCTTAGGCATCGCTGTGCAGTTTCACAGCGTCCTGTGTCTTCCATGTCTTGTGCCTGGTAATCCCTGTCTAGTAGAGTTAGTAATCGGAACCTTGTTTTGCTCTTCTGAAACTACAGTTCTGCTGTTGTTACTGTATTTGTCTAATGGTTGTTCACTCAAAAATATGAACTTTGTGCAGATGAAGGATGGGTGCATTGTCATATTTCTGCGGGGTTATTCAAAGTTGCTGACAGTATGTCTTCTGACAAGATTTGTGTTAATCACATTGTGCTGTACTGGGTATAAAGTTGGCATAAAGTCACTCTTTATTTGATGTTTTTTTTTAGGTGACCTGGCAGAGGTGAACTGTGCTTGGCATCTGCGCCTCCCGAGCCTTTCGATTTCATCACAATTATCTGTAACTGCGTTTGCTGCCTCCTACAGTGACAACTTCATATTGAGGTCCCTAGATCTTATCAGACTTTGGTTTCTGAATCAAACACAGAGACTCCTGGATGAAGCTCTAATGTGGATCCAGGCAGTGTTGTATCACACCTTTTATCCTGTGTTTTCTGTGGAAACTTCTTACACAGCGGCACAATCTCCAAATGGATCTGGATGTAGAGCGGTGCAGTGACACGAAGGGAAGTCAGCTAACAGCTTATTGCAAGGTATGGAGAAAAAGCTTTGTTCAATTTCCATTTTTTAGCATACATTAAAACCACTCAGGCAAGCCAGCCCATCAGTGTTACTGGGAGAAGCCTGGTGTCTCTATGAATTAGTGATCAGCGGTTAAGATAACGCTTCCCTTTATTGATCATACGCTGCTACATTCAATTAAAATGAGAAATAATTTCATGAAATTAAATCTAGCTCACTGGGGGTGACCAAGCATGCCATGCACATTGTGAATATCACCCAAAGGAAAGCATTAAATTGGTAAAGCATCTCCTGGACCGTCCCCCTGCTCACTGCAGGAGCTGGCTGAGTGCCCTCTGCCCCTCTGTGCACACGCAGATTGTTGGTCCCCTGGTCCCCACGGCCTCAGCTCCATGTTGGAGGAGAGCACTGGTAGCTGCTGACTGTGCACCTCATTTTGTCTTCCCATGGCAATGGGAAGGAGGTTTTACCTACTTTAAGTGCATCACTGACTCATCATGAGGCCCTCCCCAAATCCATGCTGCGAACAGCAAGCGCCCTTGGGTTTTGGATCACTCAGAGTAGGAACGCAGTGTAGATCCCCGCGGGCTCCTTAGCAGAACTGAAGAGCCAGTTTGCAGTCAGAAGTGCAGGTTCCCTTGAGAAGGTCATGTGTGACAGTCCAAAGGAGAGGGCTGTGTTGATAAGGCAGCAAACTAAAAAAGTATCGAAGCATTCTAAGCGAACTGTTCAGCTTGGCACACAAAGCAGGAAGCAAATGGACATTTGGCTCCTCTGTGACCCTAGGAGTTTGGGATGCTTTCCACACATCCCTTTTGGCTGAATTTGCCTCTCCTGGGCAGACAGGAGAGGCCCCTGTCTCCTTCAGCCCCCCTCAGGCAAAGGTATCCCAGCCCCTTGGTTTGCTGGTGAGCCACCAGGTTATTTCACTCTGACAATGCTTGATTTCTCTTTTTCTCACCTGCAGAAATCAAAGTATTCCCACACCTATCACTTAGCAGTTGCTCCTCAGAACAGTTTGTTTCCTTTTCAAGTGGAAATCCGCAGATTTGTCACCCTTTGAGGGTTGGATGAGTGATCAGCAGCCCTGTGCCCGGAGCACAGCCAGCCTTGGCTCTGTGCTCCTCTGCAGTAAATTAGACCACCACTGTCTTTTGTTGGGAAATGCCAATATGACTCCTCTGGTGTCCCCAGTTGCCTCAGGAGGGAAAATCATCAAAGCCAGATTTTTCTCTTTTCCTTTCTCCTGAGAAGATGAACCGTAATAGTGAGTTGTCTTCTAGTTTTTTTTTTTTCCCTGAAGAAAATGGACATATTTCGCCTGTGATACCTTGCATCACGTTTTTTACTATAATCTTGACTGAATCAGGTCAGTTGTATTGAATGCTGTGTATACATGTAAAACAATCCCTGCCCTGCTGCCTGTAAAGGTCATATAGCAAAAGAAAAAGCTTCTTTGAATGTGGGGAGAAAAGAGAACGTAAAAAATAAAAATGCATTTTCTTCAGCCTCTGAAACTCATTTTCTGGGCAAACAGGGTGCTGGCTGGAAGGTCCTTTTTCTCATGAGGGATTAACCACAGCTCACGTTGGTGCAAGGTCTTGTATTTGCTGGGAATTTCAGGCAGAAGCAGTTCACTTTTTATGGTTCTTTGATTTGTTAAAATGTGTAAAAATCAGCAGAGTGAGGATTGTTAGTTTTGCATATTTTTAAATCACGGAAGCAGAGTTTCTCTGGTTTTGTTTCATCTTCTAAATTCACGACTTGACTTTGGGACACATTCTTTTTGGGAAACAGAAGCTGTAATGCTTTGGAAGCTTATGCAGAGACAGGCTTAATCTTTGTGGAACAATAATTTTGGGTTGAGGGCAAGATCATTTGTACACAGTAGTCCTGCATTGGAGGTGAGATCTGGGAAAGAAATACAGCGAGAGCTGTACTCTGAACTAGTTTAAAAATTAAACTGGACAAAGCTTTCCTTATAGATAGAAGTGTTACTTTATCTGCTGAACATTGATTTAATAATGTAGGAACTCTTCTGACAGCCAAAGCTGCCTATAAAACTTTTATGTCACCGTTATAATGGAATCATCACTTGCAGGGTTGGTTATATATAGTCATTTTTTTAATCACTAAATTACATTCAATGAATTTTCTAACAACTAGACTTTCCAAATGAGTTTTCTTTTTTTTCCTCTTTATTTCCCCACCCAGCTTCTTTGTGGCAGCTGAAGGGCTTCCTACCTGTTGAATATTCATTCTGATGGCAGGAACCTGCTTGAAATAAATTCTTACCTACTTAATTTTGTGCATTTCCATGACCAGATGAGTGTTTTAAGACTTAAAAGAGGGTGTTACCATCTGACACAGCTGTGGCCAGAGGTGTGTCACATCTCTGGATCTTGGGAAGGGCATCCTCAGGAATATGAGGAAGTCTGTTGTGGGAACTGAGCAGAAGGATCTGCAGGAACTCCTGCGTGAAGTGGAGGTGTTTGGAGCATTGCTGTGTGTTTTGTCTCAAACCATTTTGAGGTTGAATGACTCAGCTCCTGCTGTTGCACACAGAATTTTACTTTAGTTTGGGTTTACTTCAGTTTAGTATTGGAGCATTTACCTGCAAGTTAGTGTGTGAATTTTGCTTCACTTGCTTTAATCCATTTCCATTACTTTCCTCTAGACAAATCCACAATTACATATTTTGACCTTCCTTTTTCTTTCCCTACTGTGCTTGCTTTGTGATAGCAGGTTATGATACTTGGGCAGCAGACACACCATCCAGCCTTCAGTGGAGGGAGGGAAGGCAAGAGAGGAAGAGAATTCATTTGCCTAATGTCTGACAAGAGTCTTCCTTTTACATGTACAGTCTTTAATGATGTTGGTGATTTGGGGCTTGTTCTGAGGAAAGATTAGACTTCTCCTTCTCTGGGATTCATAGGATTGTTGAATTTGGATGGACGTAAGGAGGACTGGAAGAAGAACATGGCTCATACATGAGTATCTCAGGAATGTAAGGGTTCTTTGGATACTCAGATCCTTTATCCACATCTCCAGTTGAGCTGTTTGGTGCTGGGAGCTGAGTGTGACAGAACAGAGGGAACTGTACTCATCAGCCCCAGCAGCACGTGGGCAGAGCACACACACACACTGTGAGTGGGTGGTTTTGCTGGTGTGCAGCTCGGAGCAGTGGTGTGGAAGAGCAGTGA